GATATGCTGACTCTGTAAACCGCTTAGAGAGGGCTGAAAGCCCTATGAAGCGGTATATAAGTCTAACTGCTATTGCTATTGCTATTTTTTCCTCCAAACCACCTACTATTACATTCTTTTAGTCAAAATACATAGTTCTCTTATGCAATCTATCCACTGGTGAATATTTTTGCATAGCAAAGTCTGATTCATTATTGGTAATTCTTCATTATAATAAAAATGTTATGTCAAAATATTTACCTTGAATTCTACTTCTTTGAGGCACTATTAGCAGTCCCAAAGCACTTACTCATAGTGTCATTGAGGTCAATATATTAATTTCAAGGTAAATGTAGTAAAGATTGCAGTCTAAAGCATATAATTTCCCATTTTACAGCTAAAGCACCAACTTCTAAGTTACATTATGCTTCCTACTTAATTACACCTACAGTTTAGCTGCCAATAAACATTATATATGTTTTAAACCTGTTATAATTTTGAATCACAATAGTTCTTCATATCCCATTAACTTCTTTTGCAATTATTTCTCTCGAGGAAAACAATTCTTTACCTTGTAGATATCCAGTTCTCCACACTGATAATCAAAGCGAGTGTACAGCTCATTAAGCATGGTGATAACCTGCATGGGTGAACACTGAGAACAGATTGCAGTGAATCCTACAATGTCAGAAAAAAGCATTGTGACATTATTAAATTTCTTGGCCTGTACAACTTGTCCTTGCCATAGCTGCTGAGCAACTTCCTCGGGGAAAATAGAGCACAAAAGATCAACTGTCTTTTTTTTCTCTTCTTCAAGAGCTTGGTGAGCTTGTTCAAGAGTTGCTTTAAGCTTCCCTAATCTTTTCTTCAATCCATCTTGAGCTCTGGCTTGTTCTCCTATTAAAACAACATCCCTAAGTGCATTATGAATTGGAATATCTGAAAGATATAAGCCACGTCCTGTGAAATCTTCCAGTCTATCCACACAAGGAGATCCCAAGAACAAAATGGCATTAGATTCAATAATGTAAATCATTTGTCCTTTAAGATCCATAACCTAAGTCAAGACAGAAAAATGAAGCAATGAGAGAATTCTGAAGCTACTTAACATATACAACGATAACAAAAAAAAATCAACTTATTTACTCTGTGGTATCTGTGGATACATGCGGATGTGGATACATTCCAGGAAAATTGGTCTGGATTACCTTTCCTCCATAAACAGTTCTGTATTTAATAGATTTTGACTTTATGATGCCTATATTCTACCTTCTTTATCTTCTGATAGCTAGTTTATCTTCTGATAAAGTTAGTTATAAATGTGCAGCTTTTCCAAGTCTCTCTAGACTTACAATTTTCATCAAGATGAACATCATCTATTAATCTGAAGAACCAACCAATGCTTTTCACAAATGCATGCAAGAACATCTCTTACTTTTGGAAAATCTATTGTACTGACTAAAAATGAGCATGCATAGAGGAAAGATGCAGGTTCAAATATTTAACATGTTTCTCTTCTTCATAAATTCACAGTGAAGAGAATTAAGTGAGAACCTAAAAAGGTGGGGTGGATCATTTACACAAATTAACTGATAGGCTGGGTTCATTCATAATGATAAGTTATAATCTGACTTGTTTTATGGACCATGCCACTAAAGGCTATGAATCATGGCTGGTGGTTTGTTTATTTATAAGATAAGCAAACTGTAGCTCACCACAATACATACAAGTTCAATCATGGTCTCATACCTCAAAAATGAATTTAATGAAGAAATGAAGAAAAAAGATACATCCAATTCTTACCCCAGTTGACTTTTTAAAAACCTTGCCTCCTCGTCTCACTCTTATAGTAAACTGCATGTTCAGCATTGTCATGATCCCGCTAAATGTGCAATTTATTTTAGGAGCCAAAATTTCAAACCACTCTTCAAACTGTGGCTTTGCTTGAAATTCTCTTTTGTTTAATAATCTCCTGATGCCATTGCCAACTTGCAAAATATCCATGGCCTTGTCAAACATGCAATGGAAAGGGAAGGTCTTACAGAACATAGAAGTAGGAATGACAAGAGAAGACTGGGGCTTGCAAGGTGATAGAGATGGCTTTGTGCTTTTGACGTGCACAGAATACAACAAATAAGGTTGATCAATAAACTCGGAACTGTCTTTGCAGAAGCTGGGTGGCATTACCATTATTTCCACCTCCATGTCATACAAAATGAGAGCTGCTGCTTTAATAATGCCAGACAGGATGAGGGTAGTTGGTTTTTTTGGGGAAAAATAGTATACATTTAAAAAATTGGGATCTTTTTCCAAGCACAAAATTGAGACTTCTTCAACTCTGCCCATTTTTTCAGCTTCATGGCAATGGGAGCTCTGCTTCAGAAGAGTACTGAAACTGTTCAAAAAGTCTTTCAGACTCCCCCCAACAACTCCAAGGATGTGTTCATCTTCTTCATAACATATTTTGAACAGCTCTTCGCCAAGTGATTCTCTTAGAACAGTGACTGGAATTCCTGGCGGCATAAAACATTTTGATTACTGATATTGTTCTAAATACAGTCTTTAAATTCCTCCAGTCAGTATGCTTTTGATTTTCAATGTACATTCTCCTTTCATTTCCTTTATCTAACCCTGTTTTCTATTACTGAACGCTTCAGATAAGTAACTATTTTACATCACTCTCTGAAATCAGTTTTTCTCTCCTGAGACCTTATATGGTTGAAGCAACGTATTATTTTTCTTCTTCTGCTCACTTTTTTTGGGGATAAAAATCTGGTGACCATTTATTATTGGCTTTTGCAGAAGTAATGTAACCACCAACTAGCACATGCACAATGGATGTAATTGCTCTACTAAAAATTACTATTGGTACAAGTGGCAAATGTAAAACGGGTCATAGGTTCTTTAACCCTTTTTAAAATGTAATCTGCTCCTTAGCCATTTGGCCTTCTGAAATGAAAAGGACAGAGATGCAAATGACGAATGAAGTGAAAAATCTAAGGATAAGAAAAAAAATAAACTCTCTGATTGCTGCTTTTCTCCTACTAATCAAGGCAACAGATTCTACAGATTTGGAATTCTGTCTTTGCAGCTTAACATTTAATTTGAATTTGAGATTATCTGAGATAACATTTAATTTGATGTTTTCTACAGAGAGACACCATCAGAGGATATCTGCATTCTAATCTTTTATTAAGAGAGATGTTTGTATGCACATACAGTATATGTGAATAACAAAAAAAAAAGATCATAAGAAGTTGAGTGTAAATGTCATACATACATACATACATACATACATACATACATACATACATACATACATACATACATAC